GTCACGGCGCTGCTGCAGTTGTGCCACCAGCGGGGCGGTCAGGGGGCCTCCTCCTCCAGGTTGGTGAGGAAAGCGACTTGCAGTGCGGCCGCCGCCGGCGTGTTTCGGGGGAGGAGAGTCAGCGTGCGCGCATTCATGGGTCAGTAGTGCCTCCTAAACCTGTTCTTCGAATATGAAGAACCACACACACCACACACGCGTGTAAACCCGTGTATGTAGCGTGTGCCCTGGACCCAAACACAAAATAGCTTTGCCACAGTGAGTCACAGTCCCCGTCGCTTCCCTTCTTTTTCTAACCGTTCTCACACCTTCACACCTGTCTGTTTGGCATCTGTTCAAATCGGGCTCAGTCACTTTTTTTGTCAAGGGTCTCATGGCAAATATCTTAGCCTTTCTGGACGATCTGGTCGCTATCGAAGCTACTGGACTTTGCATGAAAGCAGCTCAGACTTTGCCTGAAGAGTGGGTGCGGCTGTGCCAACAAACCCTTCTTTACAGCAGCAGCTGTGGGCTGGACCGGCCGCAGTGCGCCCACCCTGACCTGGAGAATTTTCTCCTACAGCTCCTGCAGCAGATAAAGCCAAGCTGCTTCTGGAGAAAGGGAGGTTTGGACAGAAATGTAAACAGCTATACTTATTTTTTAAAGATACACTATATGAAAATTTGAATCCCATGATGTTGAAACAATGTAATAGGAAAATAGCAATAGAGTCTTGACTTATGTGCAAAAATGAAATAATAATCTCTTTTTAAAAAGCTCTCATGAGCCTCAATTTTCTTATCTATAAAATGGGATGACATTCATCCCTACTTCATAGGACTTGGTGAAGATTAAATGAGATCATCTCTGTAACGTGCTCAGCACCATGCTGACAGGTGGAAAGTGCCCAGGAAATGTTAGCATTTATCTAACTTTATTAGTAAGCAATTGGCTGTGCTGCCCCAGCAGAAGGGATGTGTCCTGCAGGTGGGGCACTGGCCAACCCTGAGACTCCAAGTGCCCAGGGGACTGTGCACGGAACCCAGAGAGTCTCCAAGAGCCAGTTATCAGGTGCTCCATTTGACGATGCTCATCCAGACTCTCACAGCCACACCCCCATTCTAACTTCCCCTGGGCTGTGCTGTGAGAAATTTCTGATAACCTCAGAGATCTAAACCAGTCCTGAGACAGAACCTTCGTGACCATGGAAAGGTTCTGTATCTGTGCTGTCCAGTATGCCAGCCACCGGCCACATTTGGGCACTGAAATGTGGCTCGCAAAGCTGAGAAACTGTCTTTTGAACTTTATTTATATTTGACTTGTTGACTTTGAAGTAGCCACGTGCAGTTGGTAGTCAGTGCTGGAGAAGCAAGAAAACTGTAGCTGAATTCCTTCTCAAATGTAATTCCCCACAGTGCCACTGCTAACACTGGGGACCGGAACACTCCTTGTAGGGGCACCTGTGGAGGAGTAGGGGTGTACTTGCTGCTTTGCAGTATGTTTAGAGGATCTTTGGCCTTTTATCTGACACTAGTAACACCAACTGGGTGGGAAAACCTAAAGTATCCCCAACACTGCCCGGATCTTCCATGAGGGGGCAGGAGAGCATCACCTGAAAGGAGAACTACTGGTCTACCCCATAACTTCTGCAGAAAAATGAAGGGAATCTTCATCCACACGGGTTCCCTCATTTTGATGTCCTGGGACCCTGGTGTGCATTCCCGCTGAAGGTCTTTTCATCCCCCTTCCCCCACCCCAACCTGGAAAATTTACTGTCTTTTCGAGCATGGACTTTTCCGTGGAAGGTCAGGGAGGAGACCTGCTTGAAGGACCTCTACCTTCGGTGTATGGACGAGGCTTCCTTGCAATGTGGATTTTGCTATGGTTATTGAGGGTCAAGCTGCTGGTGATTACTAAGGATTGAGATGTTGGTGGAAGGTTTCCACACACAGTGCTTCTCTCTGACACGCACACTCTGGAACTCCTAGTCAGTGGGGGAGAGATACAGTATTACACAGCACATCATTCATTCATGTGCTCATCATTCACTCAGGTGCTCATCACAGCCTGTGCTGGGGATGAATTAACATAACAGACCAGGTCAGGGGTGGACACAATATCCGTTCTCCTTTCTTAGAATAATAGAAGCTATAAGATAAACATATGATGACCCAGGTAAGCATCTTTTGCAGCTAGATGGAGTCATGTGACTCTTTTCTGGCCAATGAAGTTTGAGGGACAGTGTGTGGTCATCTGGTAGGGGTTGCCCTTTGAAGGACTAAACTGTGTCTCCCCCTTCCCTCATTTCTGCCTTCCCATGAGCCAGACTGTGGACTAGGTGTGGGGGTGAGCCTCCTTCACCACGTG